TAAATAATAATAGTTTCTGTTAAAATGAATTATTGTTTTTCTTTTAATCAAGGTTCACTATTTTTGACAATAAATAAAAAAACGGCGTGCCATAAGCATCAAGATTCGATTTAAAAACGCCGCGCTTATACGCCGGTACATATGGCCAAGAGGAAAAATTCTCGCTATCGAATGAAAAAATAGAAAGAGAGAAATATCGGTTTCTTTTCTTACTCGCACTCGCATACAGAACGCTCAACAATCGATGGCCAAAACAAAAATACTCGCTATCGCATAAAAAAATGGAAAGAAAGAAATATCCATTTTTTTTCTCACTCACACACTCACATTCACGACCGAGAGATCTGAAGATTGTCGAAGCCTCCGTTTGTGAATTAGTGCACACGGACGCTCGCACACACACTAGCCCGCTCGCGTGTAAGACCGACGAAGAGGCGGGACTTGTCCCCCATTCTTACAGTCACGTTTTACCATTATTTCTCGCTTATTTTTGCAAATACGAAGATACTCCTTAAAACATTTTTTATGTATTTTTCAATTGTATACAACTTTTGTTTGAAACATTTTTCGATTAAATCCCTAGATTCTAAGATACGGCCATTTTTTACCATTTCAGACCCTTTTTCTCATAAATGGCACATAATTAGCACCATTCAATTCAGCGTCGTCGAATTACCATTATATCAAAAATTCACACTCTAGTATGAAAAAATGGAAGTTTGACTATTTTTGACTAATCTAATCAATGATTGGTTATCCAATGGTATTATTCAACCATCATTATCTGATTACGCGTGTCCGGTCGTACTAGTAAAGAAAAAAGACGGTAGTACAAGGCTTTGCGTAGACTATCGAAACATAAATAAGAAAATAGTGAAGGACCGTTATCCGCTTCCGTTGATTGACGATCAGTTGGACGCGCTTCAGAATGTAAATGTTTTAAGTACGTTGAATTTGAAAAATGGATTTTTCCATGTACCATTGGAACAGGAAAGCAGAAAATATACATCGTTTATAGTTTATGATGGGTGATACGAATTTTTATACGTTCCGTTTGTGTTATGCAATTTTCCCTCAGTTTTCCAAAAATTTATTAATGCTGCGTTGAAGGAATTAATTAGTAAAAAGATAGTATTAACATACATGGATGATTTAAAAAGAAAGACCGTGAATCCGGAATAGAATATTTACGAGAGGTAATTCGAGTCGTCGAACAATTTGGGCTAAACATTAAGTGGTAAAAGTGTCATTTCCTCGAATCGCAAGTAGCATTTTTAGGATATGTGATTGAGAACGGAAGGCTTCGATCTTCGAGAGGGAAAACGGAAGCAGTCATGAAGTTCCCGCAACCTTCGAGCGTAAAGCAAATTGAAAGTTTTCTGGGGCTAACAGGATTTTTTTAAAATTTATAGCTAATTATACCCTGATCGCATGGCCATTGACGGATCTACTAAAAGCAAGTGTAAAATTTGATTTCGGGGAGAAGCAAAAGAAGCGGTAGAGCAGTTGAAGCGGACCTTAAGCAATAAACCAGTGTTGAAAATATATAGAGTTGGAGCCAAAACAGAATTACATACTGATGCTTCTATGTAAGGTTATGGTGCAATCTTATTGCAACGCGACGAAAGTAATGATAAATTTCATCTGATCTACTACGCGAGTGGTAAGACTACAACGGCTGAAGCGAAATACATTAATTACGAACTCGAAGAATTAGCGATAGTAAAAGCGTTACGAAAATTTAGAATTTATCTGTTAGGTATACCGTTTAAGATAGTGACTGATTGTCAAGCATTTCGATGACCATGAATAAGAAAGACTTATGTGTGAGAGTGGCTCGGTGGGCTTTGTTATTGGAAGAGTACCAATTCGAGATAGAGCATAGGCCAGGTAAAAGTATGTTGCATGTCGATTTGAGTCGGAATCCATTGCCGATCAGCATGGTGATAAATGAAAGTGATGAGAGCGTGAATTTGAGGATTGGTAAGCCGCAGCGTAGCGATAACGAACTCGAAAAGTTTTTCGAATTGGTGCAGCGAGATGAGTATAATGATTATAAGATTAGGTATGGCCTATTGTTTAAACAAGACGAAGGGGAAATGCGACTAGTACCGAAATCAATGACCACTGAAATAATTAGGCGTGTGTACGAAAATGGGCATTTCTTGGCGGTAAAAATAGAGGTGTTAGTGAAACGGAATTATTGGTTCCAGAACATGCGTTCACAAATTGAAAAGGTTGTGTGTACTTGGGTAAGTTGTATTTTAACGGAACGAAAACATGGTAAACAGGAAGGATTCCTTAATCCCATTGAAAAGGGCAGCATACCGCTGGACGTATATCACGTAGATCGTCTAGGACCGCTAAATTCGACAAAGAAAAGTTATAGACATATCTCAGTGGTGGTAGATGCTTTTTCTAAGTTTGTGTGGTTGTATGCAGTTCGGTCAATGAGTACAGCTGAAACTTTGTCATAATTCATATTCGTTTTCGTATAATTATAGTAAACCTTTTCTCGTATTACTTTAGCGGAATAACTGATTTTTTAATTGACAAACAATATGATTTATCTTTGTCTATCTACAAGCGAAATTATAATAAAGAACTTACAGGAATTTACATCACTCATTTTATTTGTTCATGTTCTATTAATAAACAAGAAAATGTTAATTTACTGATGAATATAAGATAACTCGAGTAAATAAGCAAATGAGATAGTGTAGCATTAAATTTTTAAGTTTCATAAGATTTACGTTCATTGTACTAATAAAATTTTATTTCTTTTAGATAATTGTGTTAACAGATTGTTCTGTTTTTCTGATAACAGTTTTCCCGTTGATTGAGCCAGAATGAAGCAAGATTGAGTAAGAATGAACAGAGAATTAATTCGATTGGAGACGTTTAACTATGGACAAGAATAAGAGAAGTGAAGTGAAAAATCCACGGGAACACGCTGGTATCTTCTCCATTATTACATTCAAGTAAGTAAGAAAAAGAAAACTACTATTTAAAAATAGACATATATATATATATATAAGACTATAACTCTTATCATTAAGTGAGGATAACTAATAAACTAAAATTTATTTTTCTGAAAACCAAAAAAACGACAATTAAAGTTTATTATTCCCACYTATTCTAAACAGTTTATTTATTTATATTTATAACGAATATTCTTTACTCCTTTTCACATCTGCTTTATCTTGTATTCTCTCCCTTCCTTTGTTTATCAATCGCCACTCATTTCATGTTTAACATATCGATGTTATTAATCGATCCTTCCAACGAGAGCTGCTTGAAGTGCGACAAAACACATCAAAGGAATACATTTCCTTTACATCTCCCCCTCCCCCGGGAGAAAAGTTGTAGCAATAGTGGAGCCATGCCACTTACTTTTCTTCATTCCTCATCTGTGATTTCTTCTTCCATCTTTGAGATTGGAATCAATTTTGTACTATGGAAKAAGCCTTCTTCCGATCTTCTTCTTCCAGTTTTAATTTTATATATTGAGTTTGATATTTTCTCTATTATAGTGAAAGGTCCCACTCTTATCTCATCTAGTTTTTTCCTATTTAGTCTATTGCCATTTTCTATATAAACYCTATCCCCTATATTGAATTCGGAGAGTTTTCTATTCTCATCAAATAATTTCTTATTATAATCATGCGACCTAATACTTCTTCTTAAGGCTTCCTCTCTATCTTTGGTCCAATCTTCTTTATTTTTTTCCTCTCTTATTTCCTCTGGTAAGATACTCGTGTCTGTACCATCTATTAAATATTTTGGCGTAAAACTGGTAACTGTGTGTTCTGTTCTATTGTATTTATCTACACATTCTCTCGCAATCGTTGTCCAAGCTTTCCTCTTTCTCCCCTTTTCATTWATTCTGCATCTTATTTTATTCACCAACGTTTGGTTGAGTCTTTCATTTAACCCATTTGAGAAAGGCGTGTCTACAGCCGTAAAAATTAATTTAATATCAGCCTCCTCGAGGAACTCCTTGAAATCTTTCGAATTAATTCCTGGATATTGGTCCGTTRGAATCATCTCAATTTTTCCCATATCTAACACGTTTCCTACTAGCTTAATGAAATCGTTAGCGCTCTGAGTTTTTGATGTTAATATAAATGCATATCTTGTGAAATGGTCGACTAGTAAGTGTAAATACTTTTTCGTGGATCTGGACCCTCCAAAACCGCCAATAGTATCAATTGACATAATCTCAAACGGCTTTGTCGCCGGACCCAACTGTGACAATAGTCCAAATTTACTCTGGCCCCTTGACTTATTTCTTATACATATTTTACAGCTCCTACAGACTTCTTTAATATTCCTTGTTAAATTCTTCGCCGTGTATTTTGAACTAATTTTCCTCTGCATTTGTTTAACGCCTATATGACACCATTCTTTATGTACTTCTTTTATAATTATTTTACTAAATTCCTCTGATATAATAATTTTTTYTTTGTTCTTCATTTTCCTGTAATATACCCCATCTCTTGATACTATATCTTTCTTGTTCTTTTCTATGCTGTTCTGTTCTTGGTCTTTTTTAATATCTTCTAATTTTAATAAGTTTACTATTTTTAAAGTTTCTTCTTCCTTTTCTATCGGGTCCAATACTGGATTTCTACTCAAGCAATCTGCTTCCGTGTTTTCTTTCCCTGGTATGTATTTTATTGTAAAATCATATTGTGATAAGTAATACGCCAGATCCCCCAGTTCTTCRTCCGTTCTTGCTTTTATATTCAAGTTTTCAAGTGGTTTATAGTCCGAGTATACTTCAAATTTTCTTCCTAGCAACCAATGCTGCCAATATTTTACCGCTTCTTTGATCGCCAGGCATTCCAGATATATCGCTTTTTTTCTCTTCTGCGAATTATTCAATTTCCTCGARAAGTATGCCACCGGTTTTTCTTTTCCGTCATTTTGTAATTGTTTTAATATTGCCCCTATCTATACCTTCAAGCGATGCATCGGTATAGATTCTTATAGGTAGATCCTTATCGTATATTTCCAACACTGGTTGGGAACACAACAGTTCCTTTATTTCCTTAAACGATCTTTCGCACTCATTTGACCATACAAACTTTTCACCTTTTCTCARTAATTTATGTAGTGGATCCAGCTTTATTGAGCTCTTTGGTATATACTCATGATAAAAGTTTATCTTTCCCARGAACTGCCTGATATGTTTCTGTATTTTTGGTGTTGGAAAATTTTGTATTGCAACTAGGTTATCTTTCACAGGCCTAACTGAATTGTTTTGAATTATATGGCCGAGGTATTTCACAGAATCGGTAGCAAATGAACATTTTTTAAATTTCAACCTTAATCCTTCTTTCATTATCGCATCTAGTACTTTCCTTATATGACCTATGTGTTGTTCAAAAGTCTCCGAATAAATCAGTATATCGTCGATATAATTTACCGAAAATCCTGCTGTTCCATGTTTTCTCAATATGTTACTTAATATCTTCTGAAAAATAGCCGGCGCTGTCTTTAAGCCAAATGGTAGGCAGGTCCATTGATAATGACCCTCTTGCGTTATGAATYCYGTTTTCTTTCTATCTTCTATCCTCAATGGAATCRACCAAAAGGCAGAATTGATATCTAGTGTTGTGAAATATTTGCAATTCCTTGTTCTGGCTATCAGGTCTTCCATTAGTGGAAAAGGTTGAACTTGTGGAATAACAATTTTGTTCAGTTCTCTGAAATCGATGCAGAGTCTGGATTTTCTATTTTCTTCTTTTTTAAATGCTAAAGTCACTGGAGCAGCAAAAGGACTATAAGACTCTTCGATTAGGTTCTCTTCCAGCAATCTTGCCACTTGTTCCTCTATCTCCTTCTTGTCCT